GTAATTAGGAGAGGTCGCGTTCGCCGAGCGAGTAGTATGGGACGGAATTGATCCGGCGTTACGAGCGGCTATCACGTGAAAGGCCACTCGTTCCCTATAGGACGGGGCAAAGAGTGGGGAATGGAGATTTTCTCCGTTGACACGACGATTTGTACGAGCAACAGGCAACTTTCATTAAGCCTTTTCGAGCCGGTACCCTCCTGCCGTCTCTCTCTTCCTTCCTGGACAAAGGCTGCGACCGGTAACCTTTCTCTATTCCTCTCGTTCTCTTTTCTCTTTACTTCTATCGCGCAGTCCCCTCGCCGCGTGTCGAAACGAGCCACATAATCGAGGCTCGTTATACAGGTTCATTCAAAACAGCCTCAACTTGATCCGAACGACCATTTTGTTTATTCCTTCGAAAATTGTACGTGCAAGTTTCTACCTTTTCTCGTCGATATAATCTATTCGACTACAGCTAATTTTGACAATCTTATTAATTAATTCTGACTCTTCTCCAGCATTCTTTTTTGTCCAGGACTGCTCGAAACGCATTCACGGATCTTATTTTATCGTAGACTATAGTCTTCGAATATTTTTCCTCGATTCGTACCAATTGTTCTCAACAAGATTGCGTCACATTCTCTTTAGGTAATGAAATTTCTTCTTCAATTGTGACGGTCGCTATAGCGGAGTGAGAGTCTCGGAATGAGAAATTTGTAAAAACTACGTTGAAAATGTGTTCATTTTTGAACCATTCTCTACGCAACGAAGAATCGCATTCGTGTCCGTATCAACGACAAAATGCATTTACGTGTGTTGGGGTCATTGGCGAGCGACGCGTCCCTATTCAAGCATTGCGAGCAACAAGAGCCAGCAGTAGCGTGTTGGAAACTACGCGAGGATACCTCGTTTATTCGAACCTCGTTAACATCGCGCCTTTAATTCTGTCCCCTGTTTTCGCTCCGACCGCTCTTCTCCTCTCGGAATTGTTCGAACGCAATTGCGACCGACGTCGAAATGCCCTGATCTTTATCGAACCACGTACCATTTAATTGTTCAACATTTTTCTCTAGTTCCGTTACTTCTAGCTTCTTCAATTTCATGCACCGTTCTTGAAAAGTCTGATCCAACAACGACGTTACGTCGTTGTTTTCTCGTTAACAAACCTGTATTCATTAACGTGAATCACGTTTACTCGTGAAACCAAGTAGAATCTTGATAAGAGGTTTACGTATGCGTAACACGGTTGACACTGACACTAATTACGAGATTGATTCGCGGTTACCAACTGTTTGATGCTGAAACGATGAGTAGCTACAATCCACGGAAATTGTTTTCCATTTTAAAGACCGTATATATAGAAGTTCGACTTTCCATCTCCGAGCAGATATCGAATCGGTGATTTTATTCGTACACGAATCCAATTACTCCAGATCGTTTTGCGTCAACGAATAAAGCACAGAAATGAAAGTTTTATCGCGAAGAGGTTCTTTCTGGCGGTAGCATCAAGAAACGATTCGGAAACTTGTTTCTCTCCGTGTGTACATAAATATCGAGTAAAGCGCAGTCGTGTATGCCGTGACCGTTCGGTACGTGTGAAGACGCCAACTCCGTGCCAACCAAAGAAATCACTTGCGCCAGACTCCCTGTCCCATAACGTCTCCCTCTTGTCGGAAACTTCCTTTCGAAACTTCTTTTTCCGCGACTGCCCACCGTTCTTTGTTCCGTCTGCCATTTCCCCGTTATCGCTTGATTCTATGTACCAGCTGTCTTAAAGAAGACCAACTGGATAGAAGGACTAGTCTTTCGTTAGGTGTTATGCCGGTGCGCGGTAGATTAGACCACGTATTAGATCGCCGTATGCTGGTTCACCACGCATTTGATCATTACGCCTTAGATTACTATGTATGGGACCATCACGTATTAGATTATCACGTATTAGATTACCACGCGCGTGTTCACCACGTGTCGGATCATCGCGCGTTAAATTACTACGTCTTGAACTACCCGCTAGATTACCGCGCGCTGGATCGCTGCGCATCAGATTACCACGCGTTCCATCATCGCGCATTTCGTTATCACGCATTAGACAACGATACGTTCCATCATCGCGCGCTTCATCACCACGCACTGGATCATGCGAATCGTCATTTCCGTCATCGTATGTTCCATTACCGCGCGGCAGATCTCTCCGAGTCCCTTCTAAACTGTTCGTAAACTCTTAGACTCCCACTGAGCCCTCTCGGAGCAAACGTAGAAAAGTTTCTGCCCCGTACAGTTATCTGTACTCGAAACAGATTTAGGTCTCGCCCGCGTGTACATAATAACTAAAAGTTTGGGTCTATTCTCCATCGGTTAAAACGAGTTCCGCGACACGATAGTCGATGGAATAGTAAAACGATGATCTCGGAAGATGAGGCGCGTATCGGGGAAAGTCAAGGAGCGGGTTCGTGATCTCTGCAACATTTTAACGACCTCGTGGATCCGGCGGAAAGAACGGGGACAGGCTAAGAATCGGTCGTTTCAGCTGGATCGTATAACGAGTTATAGGAGATGGGTCGCGATTCGAACGACCATAGGCAGCTACGCGACCCTATCAACTTTGTATCAACGACATTCGAGGCGGTTTTATTGTTACTTCGAAAAGGTGAACGTTTACACGCTGCGTACAAATATTCCGCGATGTGACGGTAGCAAACGGTGTAAAATTATACTAAGAACCAGCCTTTTATCGCTTTATTATGGTAACGTTCGATTCCGTTTCGGACTCCAAAGTAGTCGAACGTGAAAAGTCGTTTCGAGCTTATAGCTCTATTGTTACCTCTTCGATTCTTATAAACAACGATTTTATACGTCGCCTTTTCGAATCTCGTTTGGTGGGACAATAAATTCATTCTTCTTTAAGGCCGACTACGGCTCGCTTAAACTGTTATTTATTTACCTAACCTTCGCTTCTCCGGCGAGTTGTTTGCGAGTAGAGTCAAGCGGCGAACGAGCAATAAATTCAAAGAGGAACGCGCAAATATTATATGATCTATATGCTGGGTGTCATCTATGAGGTACCGAGAAAACAAACATTGATTCTCGACTCCCTCCGACGTGATTCAATATTTGTACTTGCCCGATGAAAGTGTATCAGCGCGTATCAATCAAGAAGAACAAACGCTCGTCGAAATGTACATGGCCGGATCTCGAAGGCATGGATCATCGTGACACCGTGTTCGATCTCTTTTGCTTGCCAATTATTCTCGTTAATTACCGTAATCTTGTTAAATCACGCGAGTCTCTTTGAAACATACATTACATACGTTCGTGTACATGTACGTCTCTATCCTCGAAACCGAGGTTTTAACGCGAACAAAAATTCTGTTCCAAATTCTCCGCTTTCTAATTGAGTTTCTTTATAAATGATCCTCTCCCGGTAAAAACGCGCCAAGCCGGGCGTTTCAATTTCACTTTATTAAAAATGAAACTTCGCGTTGTCCTTATCAAATTAGCCGGACAATGATTCTTTTGTGCGCGCGTCAAAGTAACGATAACTTCTACCGTAATTACTTTCTACTTGTAACGAAAAGAAACGTTTTAAGTGCGGCTGGCCTACATATTTCTCGATCGAATCGATTTGGTAAATTGATTTTGCTTTAAATCGATCGAGCTACGTCATCAAGGATAACGAAATGACGGAATAGCAGAAAAAAATTCCTGACGCTCTATGTCCATTTGAATTCAATCAGTTCGAAACGCGGGTTATTCGATTCCGATCGAATCCTTGCGACAGGTTCGTAATATCGTCAACATCGAAATTAAATATAAACGAAGCGGAATAACGATGAATGGAGAAACGGGGCAGGAATTTCCATCGACGGTGGCACGATCCGACGTTGGAATTATAGTGCGGCTACAGATTCCTATAAATTTGCCAGCCTCTGCATACCTATATCGTTAATTAGCTGTTAAATAATTGGCAACTTGTTGATTGTCGTTAATTCTGGATGAAATTGAATAAATGGCACCGATACGCCACATTAACACTTTCACGCTCGCGAACTTCCGGTAACAAGTGATCGCGTGTTAAATATGGAATTGCTCGTTCCTTGGAAAATTGCATGACGACGTCCTTTTGCTTCCAGAAACAGCCAGCGCTACTCCGTCATTGTCGTATCTAACATGTAGTCTGTTCTACCGATGTAACCCAGAAACATATATCCTTCGTACTCGACTACCACGGGATCCCGAAATTTTCATACTCTTGAAAATCCTTATAAATCAACGAGCGAGACAGCTGTGCTTGATTGGCATATTTTTTCTAAGGAAGCCAAATTCGCTGGTGACGCGAGCAAATTACGCTGGCACACGCCACCGTTTACTCTACTAATGCAAACCACGTAACGAAGAATGCAATTGCGTTGCGTAACAAGCCGGTGGTCTACTCTCGAAGAAAGTGAAACCGTGTGTGGCGTTTGACACGTAACGCGTCGCGTCGGTTAAAATGGAGAACGAACGACGGGAAACGTGCATTTACATACGAATGTATATGTATATCCACGGAAGCGGGAATTCAGACGTTATAAAACACTGGCTGTAGAAAGTTCCCCGTGCAGTTTACGGGTATAAAGCTATCTATTGTAATACACCGAAATTGAAAGCAGCCGAGACGCGGGAATAAAATATAAAATATGAATCCGGCTTATTACTTTGCCGCTACTTGCATCTACCGTTATTACTGTCTCCGCTTCTGACGTCACAGTCGTACAAGATTTTCTCTTTACTCTTTTCACAGTTCCGTGTTCAATTTTATTCGTCACTGTCGGTTTGTAGCTGCTTGTTCCGCGAATAACTGTCGATCATCACCGCGAATTCAATCGCCGTCAGTTTATCCGATCGCAGATTTAAAGAAAGATTTATATTATTCGTTCGGGCGCGTGGCATTTTCGTAACAGATTCCTTTATACGTACATGGTGGATCTTACAGTGTGTTAAATGATTTTGCGCCTTGTATACGGGAGAATAAACTTTATTGTATTGCGAGTATACCATCCTGTCAGGATGCATAAAATATTGCTTACAACGATCTTACAACGCGAATATGGATATTTAACCACGCGCGTAAAACAACGCGCGTCGTAAAAAATATTGACTCTACGATTCCTTCGGGAATGTGTAAAGGAAAACATAAGCGTACATCGGTTCTTAAGAAATAACGCCGATGCTGGATGCATCGATACGTTGGTAAATCGGAAAGCGATTCTATCGACGAATTTACCTAGTTCGAAAAACAGGTCGCACGATCCTAAAAGAAAGTGTCAACAATTTTGGTGAGAGTCCATAGTATATGCGAATGGTCGCGACTGCGTTAAACGACTATTCTAAACAGGTTTGCGTTTCCCTTCTCTCGGCCGCTTCTCTTTTTATCGAAGTATCTAGCATCGTCGTTTTCCTCGCAGCTGCTCCCATTATCCTTCGTCTTACGAAACTCCGGCATACTGCTGCACTATCTTCGACCACTCCTTTGGATAGGTTCGTTGAATGTGTGAAAGGACCTTCTTGATCTGTCGTGTTTCCTCAGGGCTACATTGCGGGCAGGAGCCTCTCAAAACCAGCGGCGCTAAACCTGGATAACAACGATCGGGATGGTTAAATCGAATTCTGCCGGTAACTTTATAGAAATTTATCGGCAAAGTCTTCGAGGAAACACGCGGCCCTCGAAATACGGGTATAAATCCGATCTAAGCAATTCGATGACTCGCCGTCCCGAACAGAGTCTGCTAGAGTTCGCCACAAAATGGGGTTATTCCTCGACGAAGATCAATTTATCCCTCGAATCGAAGACAATAGCGATTCACGCGCGCAAGCTCTTATTTCTCGTCGTGCCCTTTGATTAAACCGACTCAAAAATCTGCAAACAATGGAAAGTTCGACGAGTTCCATGGCAACGCGAAACAAGATAGCGAAACTCTGAATCGATTCTGGTGACGCTGTTTGATTACACGAGTCGTCTCGAAAAGGAGGTGCGCGCTGTCGGAATTGCAACTGCAAATTTTACGCGGTGAAATAAATCGAAAAATTTTTTACCGCCTCATATTCCGAGTCTTTCAAAATGTGAACAATTTATAATTCAGTACGCGACTTCTGAGTCGACCTGTACAAACCTTGGACGATCCACTAATTATTCAGGTTGTACGTCGAGCAAAGAAAAACGCGATCTCTCACGGAGCAAACCTAAAGCGTGAAATAGATTCTTGCAACCTGCGCCATCGGCACTCGAATCTCGACGCACCGGGTTAATAGCGACCCGTTGACGTTCGCATCGTAAAGAAGATTTACGTAGAAGGATGCAGTGTTTTTAATCTCGCACGCAGTCGAAAGGTTGTCCTCCCGATGGATTTACGCGACATCGTGTATGTACGTACTTTTTAAACGTCTCCCGACCGGGTCACAGGGAGCTTCTCCCAAAGCACATTTAAGCTGTCTCCTCAAGTAACGCTGATCGCTTAGGGCCATATTTACTTGCTCGTCGGAGACCCGTGATCTTCCTGTCTGTCCCACTTCCGATTCCGCCGTTACACTGCAGACAAGCAAAGCGCAGACGACCAATAGGAGCTGGAACATTGTTCGAGATAGTTAAATGCACGCTTTAAGTAAATAAAGGAGATGTCACCTGAATATTCTCCGGAGAGGTGAAACGCTTTCTACGCGAGAGCATGCGAAAGCCTTAACAAAATACGCCAAAAAGTTTCGACGATGTCGAAAATGGCGCGATTCCCTTTGGGCCGACAATTTACTCACACTTTACGTGTTACACTATCGAGTATTAAATCGCCACGAGTTATCGCTCGCTAAATTTCCACGTGTTGAATCGTTACAAAGCGTTAAATTACCATACATTGAACCGCCAGAAACGCGATAACTTTTCCTCCCTTCGTTCTCTCTGAACAAAGGTAGTCTACATCGCTAAGAAGGCGAGGAGAACGACGTTCGACTGCACATAAAGGCAGCGACATCGTTGAAGGAAGTCGTTGACGATGTGGCGAACGCGAAAGAAACAATTTAAAAGTAAGCTCGTTAGGTGGTCGACGTGTAACTGCAACGAAACACCGGAAGCGTGTCGAAACGGACCAAGGGAGGCAAACAAACACGAAGTTGTCGAAAGTACGCGCACACGCCGTCGTTACTCACAGTGGTCGGTGCTTGTTTAGCCATGTTAGCTTTGGCGTGCTTCGCCAGGGTTGCGTTTAGCCGCTGTCTACGGCTAACCTTTCCTTATCCCTTGCCCCTTTCCCATCCAACATTCCTACATTTCGACCTTTGGACGCGTTACATCCCCCAATTTGCTTCTCCCATTTCCGTATACGCGATGTCTATTCTGTTATTATATCCGCTACCCCGTTTAACTTCCTTCTGTGGACTATCCTCCGCTGCATATAATTATCGCTTTCCCCTTTCTCGGGATACGCAAAATTTTGTGTCGGTTTAGAGGTAGAGTTGATCAATTAGTGACCAAATAGTACGATTCGAATAAATCAATCATTAGGAACTTTGCACGTGTATTCGTTTATGAACGCCCTGTAGATAAAACGGAACGAAAGCTGAAAAATTACGCGAACGAAGAGGCAAATGAAATCGTCGCAACGGATGAATCTATCGCTCGGTGTTCGAGCGTGTCACGCGTCGCCGATCACAAAACATCGTTCCTACGATCTGAACTTTCTTTTCGAAGCAATCGTAGAAACAATGCGGAGTAAAATGGGAAATAGTTCCAATCGAACGGCAGCTACTTGATAGTCGAACGTACCGTGTTTGAAAAGATCGTGCCCCGAGCGCAAACCCTCCTTTTTTTCATACTTTTGACACGCGGCTGTGGTCGATATTTCGAAAGTTCAATTTTATTTTCATCCCTCCGCGCTCCTCGAGTCCCTCTGCCCCTCTAACAATCGCATTCTGCTCGAAATTTCGCGTGCCGCAATCCGGAACACCTGCTCTTTCCCTTTTTTCTCCTCTCCATTATCGCTTCGATTCTTTCATTCGCCTCTGGCTCCGCTTCCGTCGAACCAAACGTCAAATTTCACTGGCGAGACCCGAGGGTACTTCGTACTCGACTCGAAAGAGACGTTTATACGTCTCTTCGACGCGTATGAGTTTCGAATAATTGATTCTGTCTCAAGAGAGAATTCGATTTGCTCGAACTCTTCTGGATGCGAGGCTACCCTCCTCCTCGCTAATCCCGACAACGTGTACTTTTAACGGGACAATCACCTCTAATCGTCTCGGCTCTACCTCGCTGATTTTCGAGTTTCGATTTGCCTGGCAGCGGGACACTAATAATCGTGGCGGTTCGGTAAATCACTAGGGTGCTGTATGTATTCACGCGCCAGGGATGATTTGTGGATCGGTCGCGACCTACGATGTACGCACGCAAACCGCTTACTTCCGCAAACCGACGTGGATTAGAAGAATTATTGGCCGCTCTGAATGGCAAATCGGTGTGATGTAGATTTTATTGCCGTCTCGTTCGTTGTTACGAAAATAATTGTAAATGTTCTCGTCGCGATAATGAAATCCGCGAGAAACCGTATGCGGTACAAAGACGATTAATATTAGTTCATACGTCCGTCGCTTATACGTATTGCCTGTTCAGACTTTATCACCCGTTCTCTTACGCGCGCCGGCTGAAGCACCATTTCCAAAAAGCTTATCAATAATTCATCACCTGCACTTTGACTGACAATTGGCCATATTCAGCTTCGTATAGTATTCGGCAAACTGTAATCTTCAAATTGATACAACGTTCCGTCGTGCACGTAATCTTCTAATCATAAATGTATTATCGAGTACTAACGTTTCATGCCCGTTCATACGAAGTTGAACGAAGCGAATTAACTTTGTTGTCGATATTTAAAGCTTACTGCAAAAACTGTTGGACCTCGTGTACGTTTAGTGCGTTAATTGTCGTCATAGTGAACGAATGATAATTCACCGCTTAAACGGGATGCGTGGAAAACTCGTATCGTTTGCAACCGTAATATTCCGTTATAGTTATCGGCAACTCGATCCCTCGCTCAGTAAACGATAAACAATAATTTACCGTTCGTATACGACCGATCGGAACGTTGCGCTATTTGTAGTTATTAAATTAATTTACAATCGTTTAGTTATCGACTCGTAATCGATGGATAACGATTACACGGTTCGTTGAATAAACGTGCCGTATCGATGACCTCGACGTACTAACAAGAACCGGAGCTGGTCGACTCGAATAAGGAATAGTGTAAAATTCAATTATTCAACTGCCGCACTTGTTCTGCAATTTTAAATAAAACATCATTCAGCACGATATTGGCTCGCGTTGGACCACGCGTTGAAGGTCCACGTGTTCGATCACCATAAGTCGTACTATATCTTAATATAAAAAATGATCGAAGGCAGAAGCGAAGATCCCAAGTTCGAAGTAACGTGGATTGAGTCATAAGCCGAAGAAATCGTTTCGATCGGTTTGGTATTCTCTGCAGCCACTGTTTCAAAACCGTACGTACATACGTAATGGTACAATTGCGGCACACATGAGTTATAAACGGAGCCGATGTCGCCGATAAAAGTTCCGTTTCGATCGTTCCAAGGAAGCCGAGCTACGTGCCAGAATTTAATCGTTTCTTTTCGCTATCGACAAGGAGAAAATGACGGGACCGATTCTGTTCTTCGTAGAAAATAAACACGCTGAAACAGCTTCGTGATTTCATGGAATCTCACGGAAACGATCGAATTGCACCGATATTCCACTTCACGATGAAATAACTACGAATTCGTTGCCTCTTCGCGTTTATTAGCTTTTTAATATCGCAGGGATTTTTCTGCCGGTTCCGTGACCGATTTTTTCTTAAGAACCCTTGTCGTTTCACGAAACGTTCGTTCGAACGGTGAACAGTTAAGCTCCATAAAACTTGTCCCCGTATTACAATGCAGTGACGCTTTTCGCTCGTGTTTTTAAGAAACTTTCGTGAATGCAGCTGCATCCATCGCTTTAACGAGAATATTTTAGATCGAAGGTTATCGATGGAAATCCATTTATCTTCTTTTACGAGACATAATGTACATCGATAGAATAGAACAGACTTAACACGAAGCTGCAGCAATAATTTATCGAATCCTCGTAGGTTAGCAACCACGTGTCGAAGCAAGATAAACTGTAGTGTCGAACGTTTGCGAGAAAGTAGAAAAGGAAGTGAGCAGACTTCCTATTCCACTTAGCGCTTCGACCGTCGCGTAAACTCCGATATTATAGCGAGTGAAGTCTATTTCCCCTACACCGCCATTTTCTCCAAAGAAACCATACTCTGTAGTGTACCACTCTGAACATATACACTTCTTTCCCTAGAGAAAATTGCCCCACCGTTCTCTTCGATACCCGAAAAGTAATTCATGATGCGCTAAATTAATTTGTTCGATGAGCGAAAGTGTGTGGTTTAAAAATGAATCGGAGGACCATTCTAGTAAGCCCGGGTTATCCATCCTCGGCTTTCCAGGGTTAATTCGCATATCGACGGAAACCGCATGCACAAAAGCCGGTATTCAAAGTAGAGGGAGTCACGACAGAGGGTATCGAATTCGAGCGGGTCTCGTGACTCTGTCAACACGAAGTGAAGAAGGGTGGCAGACAAAAGAGAACCCCTCCGGATACAGCGAAACTTTAAATCACCGCGCGTACGTGTACACAGGGTGCGCTCGTATCTACCTGTTGCACGTTCGTCACTCACTCACCTTGATTGCCGAAGCCATGTCGAGAATGGTTGGTGTTCCTCCCGTTAACTCTTCGAGCAGCCACAAGGAAGAGAAGTAAAAAGAGAAAGAAGAAACGTGTCACGATCGAGGATGAATCGAACGAAACAGAGTTTACGGAGTGAAGGGACAGGAGTTGATTGTATGGTCGTGTGTCCTCTCGGCGCGAAATCTCGGAACACACTGGGCCCGAAAGTACGTTCGTGGCCTTTCCTCCCCTTCTTCACCCGATAAATACGAAAGTGTGTGTACACCGGCCGACGACTCGATGATATATACCTAACGGCGATTCACCGTCTTCGGGCAGCTCTCCGTGCACCGGCTGCTTACGAAGTAGGGGAAGCTTCGAGGCATGCATGAGTGTGCGCCGTTTTCTTCTTGCCCCTCGCTCTTACTCTCGTTAAACTTCCACCACGCGGTTACCACTTTCTTTGGCACTCCGCTCCGCTCCCTTCGAGTGGATCCACGCTCGAGCGTTCGCGCTTTTCAAACTCTTTCTTGACTTTAGAAGGCTTAAGAGCGCCGTCGAGAAACAAGAGATAAGAGGAAAAAAGGGAAAACGGAGGGAAAAAGAAAGTCAAACTTGAGGATTTATTTTTCTAATCTGATGCTCCATTTGCTTCTTTGAATTCGTATCGCGGAACCTTTAGTTTTTCGGTTAATCCGTTGACCCGACAATTTCGTTGCGCAAACGAGTTCGCAGTGATCATTGCAAAAACTGTGCGCGCTTAAAAACGTAAATCGACGTAAGAGGAACAGGAATTCGAAGCTTCCGAAGCGATTTATTCCCGCAAGAACATGAAAAAATTGTTGAGAGGTACAGAAAAGATCAACCTTAAACTCGATACTGGTTCAACGCGCCCCCTTCAATCTCCTCGACAAAACAGCAGTTCCGTCGTTCTTTTTTCTCCAGATTCTTCCTCATTTCCTCCCTATACATTCGATACACCTCCGACGATTCGAGGATCGTCTGTGCTCGACGGCGATCCTTTTTGCGGATCCGTGAACGGCGTTCAATTAACTTTTACGAGCGACAGCCTGCGTAATGACCTGTTTTCCCTCGTCCGTCGTTTTTATTCTTCTCCATGCTATTAATCATTGCAGGGCATCGTCCGCATCATCCTGGAGTAGAGGACGTATCGATCACGTCGCTCGTTAAAACGAGTTATATCCCGCGTTCTGTAACTAAATGCTTGTTCCGTTTCTCGATTCGTTTATTTTTCTTGCCTATGCCATCGGGAAATCTTGTACCGCCTACAATAATTTCCGCTGGAAATTGAAACGTGTTTGCTTCTGATCGAAAATGTACAATCGTAAACGAGACTCTGGAAAGATCGTGGGCCATCGGCGATCCCACCGTTGTCTCGCTTATAACTTTCTCAAAGTTATTCGATGGTAAACTGATAATTTCCAGGCTGTCATTAGGTTGTTCCTAGATCCTAGATTCTCTTCTGGTACTCCCATAACACGAATCGAACTGATCGTTTCTAAGAATCGAAAGAACAGTCGCTTACGGCTTGGAGAAAAGAGAAATCCCAACAAAGCCGTGGATTTAATGGACGATTGACTCGGTTACACTTTCGCGATCGAACGCGTATGTCCACCACGATATCCTCGCTGAATTGGTGTGAAACAAAATAAAAAATAGGAAACGATCAAGCAAAAAGAACGGCTAGGTGATCTGTCGTGAAATACGATTAAACTGTTCACCGAAGTGTGGAAGGGCAGAGCGAGAAGGAAAGAGTAACTAGGGGGGAAAAGTTGGACGCGATATCGGCACGAACGATAGGAAACTAAGGGGAAAATCATGCCTTGTATCGATAAAGATTACACGGTCCGGACTAGTCGATCTACTTTCGATCTGGCAGCTCGAAGCTTTCGCGGTGTCAAGGGGATTCCTCTGTCGATGCATCGAACGATCCACGTCCCCGTTTTTTTTTCTTCCCTATTTTTATTTCTTCCATTTCCTTCGTTTTTTATAGAGCCAGCTCTATTTCTTCTTTTTCACGTTCGCAGGGATCCGTTGTCCGGTGCCATTCGAATAGTCGTCCGTTTTGAAGGTGATCCGAGCGATCGGACGAAACGAATTCAACCGCGATGAGGACGAAGGAGAAATAAAGGATTGATATGGCTCATTGTCCTGTTGGTCACGTCGAACGATCCCTCGCGGACTGATTTCACCCCGCGGGCGGTTTATCCGATCATTTCGCGGCGAACCGTTTAAAATCATAATGGACCCTCTTTACCGTTTCCGCTCTCGTTTCTCTCATCGATAAGACGAATGATCGTTCGCGTCGCTCTTCGAACACGGGAATTTTACCTGGTGTATGAAGCTCGAAAACGATTCAACGATCTGGAACGGTTCTACGTTGCGCCACGAAAGTCACGGACGACCAAAAGCTGACCAAAATTTACACCAAAATTCGAGCGACCGTTTCGAAAGGGTGCTGGTTAGTCGGTAATTTCCCTACACGGTGAATCCTTAACTACCAGATAAACCTACCAGCTTGTGGGACGGACCAACCAAACCGAGCGGACTAAACGCGGAAAGGGACGGAGAGAACCAACCCCTTCTAACAAAGTTAATCTTCTTTTGAAAATATTTATGGTGGATGTGCCCTAAGTTTCTGCCAATAAACTGCTCTAACAATCGCTTTAGTCTTACGAAAACAAATATTACTTTTTTCTTGCTCAAAACAGTCTACGAAATTAGAAGCAATGTTTGTCGCTAAGCTTTTTCGACGATTTCCTACACGATCATAAACATGGGCAAACTAGAAATTCCAAGGCGAAAGTTCACGAGCACCCGTTCCGCTCGTTGAACCGTGCGCGTGTACATCGGTCGCTGGTTCCACGAGAGAAAGTGGGAAAAGTCGGAATCTCCGTCGTCGAATGTACATGAAGGAACATCGATTTCCTGGAAACGATTCGCTTGATCGTTCACCTCGAACATAAAGAACAAAGACCAGTCAAAGATCGTACGATTATCGTGCGAATACCCCGAAGGCTCGAATATCCTCGATTTCTCGCGACTTTTAGCATTCGGATCGAGAACGAGTACTTTACGCTATTCTATCGTTTTATTTGTATCAAATTGGATCCGTTCTCGAACTATCGTTCTAAATATTAAATCGTTACGCAACGCGTGTGAGACTTTTATCTCCGATCATGAACATGCAACGTAAATTTTCTACGCATGACGATAGAAAACACGGCGAATGCTTAAGCATCGGGTCAAGGACGGTTTCTCTCGAGTCGTTTTCGTTTGCCATGCAACACGTAGCACCGCTTACGCCCTTAGTATTTGATGAGAAAATGACGAGAAACGCTCGACGGAGATTCGAAGCGTTTATGCGATTTACAGCTTGCGAAGATCGTGGACGAAATATAAGAAAGTACCCAATGATACAATTTGTTCCCGCTTATAGTCCATTAGATCGCTATGAAATATCAACACTTATTTGGTCCGATCATATCATTTTGTGTTGTACAGAGGGTCGTTGGCCTCTGAACTAACGTCCTGACATCCAGATTTATTATATCTCGCCAGACTATTCGATTCTTCCGAGAAAATGTTTGCCAGTGACACAGACTCCTTGTAATTCGCAAAAATCGCTCTTTCTTATTCGAGTCACGAATACACTCGACAGATTGATTGACATGCCGTATTTGCTTGGGATTGCTGCTATTTATGTCGTTCTCCGATTATCATGCTGTAAAAGCTTCCAATCCTTCGTCCTTTCTCCTTTTCTTTTTCTCTTGCGGGAGGCTGGTATTTGTTAAATGGGCACCTAAGGAAAGCGAGAATACAAAAACAGTGCAAGAAGGAACATTGATCATTGATTTTTCTCGAAGAGGATTTACTATTTTCCGTACGTTCGGACATTTGGACAAAAGAGTGGTGTCCTTTTGTTCGCGGGGTACACTTATCGAAATAAAAGTCGGCAAAGATAAGATACCTTAATCGCAGTTTCGCGAACTGTATTACGAGTAACTGCGAGCCAACTGTCCGCAGTAGATATGCGCGAAATCCATTTTCCAGTTGTTAAACCTTGCTAACTTGCTAATGTAACTCAAATAATTAAAGTGACGTGTACAGGCGCTACTCTGAGGTTACAGGGACAACTTCTGGATCCTAATGTGGATGGAAGATATAACGTGCGAAACTGGCTTGTAAAGGGGCGAGAGGGGAAGGGAGAAAGAGAGGGGGATGAGAATTTCAAGAGCGCGTAATAGCGCCGTCTAAGTAACGTATGTTCTAAAGTAAACTGCTCTATCTTGTACGAACTTCCATCTTGGAAGTCGCATCTCGAATTTAGAATTTTCTCTTTAAAAATGAATTCACTCGAAATTACTTGATCGTGTTTAATAGATCCGTTGCTTTAGCGTGGACTGCAATTATAGAGATAGGTTCATTAATATGCTTTCTTATTACTCTACGATCGTAACATACGTTTGTATGTTTAAATCATTATGTTACTTTTGAATATTTAAAAAATCTATTTCACTGCTGGGATTATATGAAGACTATGTTGGCGCGTGTACACGCACGATTCAAGTACGATTCTCGCCGAAGTATGGCTGGAGAATCAGGGACTTTGAGGCTTTGAAATCTTTTAACTTTGGAACTGCAGAATTTTACATCTTCGAACCTCTGGAATTTTTAAAGTTTAGAACTTGGAGATTGTAAAACTCTCGAACTTTAGAATTTCGGAACTTTAAACTTTGGGGCTTCAGAACTTTGGAAATGTGGAAAATAACATAAACGGTTGGATCGTGGCAAATTGTTGAAAGTGGACATCGATTTGTAAAAGTTTGGGAATTCCTGCCATAAAGAAAAATAGGTAAAGGACTATTATACAAGTTTCTGGTCCCGAAGGTGCAAGAATGCAATTGGTAACGCCATCTGCACGATGCATCGTGCAATATTCTCACGCGAACAATACAACTACAGGGACACGCGTAACGCGACAATGGCGACCTGAAAAGCTGGCGTGCGCTTCTTTGCTCTATATATTTTTGACATCTCACTAGTGTTTACCGTGCCCTTTTCGTATATTCGTGAATGTGAAAAACATTTGTGCCACCGTAAAATATGTGACTGATGAAGTGTAAAGATTAGAAACAAGAAATCGCATCGATCCAACCACTGAAGCTAGTTAGGTGCACGACACAATTCAATGGTGTTGGTCCCTGCCGAAAAAACGGGAAAGCCATGTACATGTCGATGCCTTGCCAACTATAATGCGCTGGTAAGCGTGCGAATTTTTCATATCTTGTGTGGCTTACACAGATTTTCAACCGTATACCCTTTATATATCGCTGAATCTAATAAATAGTTTAGAAAATCGTGTAGGTTAGGTTGGCCTGAGAAACGCATCGGCGGATTTTATTTTGCTCTCTTTCCAAGGGGTTGGCTATTTTTTTTACGTTACTTTTATCGTTTCGATCGTACCGTTGTTCAAGATCATGCATTATTTTTACGTAAACGATAATTATTCGAACAGGACAGACTGAAATATTTCTTATTTATATTAGCATACACAGTATAGTAACTTACAATCATGTATGTTTGTAAGCATGTATTTGTATTCATGTTGTTGTGAATGTAACATTATAAATATATTGTTGAAAGTAATAGCAACGAAATATATTAATAATAGAATTATCAAATGCTTTTGTTCAGTGTATTTGTATTCATTGATTTGTTTATATTTTCCCTCTTCTTCATTATCAATTTTTTAATTTGTTCAATGAAATAACATATTTTATCTGATCTAAATGTAATTAAAACGCCTAAAATAAAAACTGTTATGACACAAATAATGAAACATAATATTTCCTTACTTGAAATTATCAGTGGGACACCAGTGGAAACTTATCGCCAAAATCTAGCGTGGTGCTGATACGGCATGGTAAAATAAGGGAAGCGAACGAAGGAGATGAGCCACAATATTGCAGGCATGCCACCCTTTGCAAGGATGCCTTTAGGGGGTATGGGTATGGGTGTGAACATGGGTCCTAGTGCCCCGCATCCTGAATCTTCTGGACACCCCCATCCTCCACCACCGCCACCTACTGGTGCCAATCCTAAAAAGAAGCGACGTACAAATGCTAATGTTGCTCAACCACCCCCTCAGCAACCTCCAACAGTGCAGGTAATTCTGATGATTAGTAATAAATGTTATGTTACTTACAAGATACACGTTTGCAGGATTTATTACCACCCCCTTTAACGGGTTATGGAGATACAATAGTAGCAAGCAACCCTTTTGACGACACACCGCCGCAAACAACGCAAACTCCTATGATGCATGGTGGACCACCCCACATGCACCCTCATCACCCACATCATATGAGTGGCCCACCTATGAGAGGCATGAGTCCTCTAACTTCTATAGGTGGAATGAGCCCTATGATGCCTCATAGTATGGGTAGTATGAGCCCTATGGGAAATTCACCCATGACAAATCATATGAATCATATGGGAGCAATGTCTCCTATGAATCACGCGCCAATAGGTGGTATGAGCCCAATGAATAATATGGGCCCAAGTATGCCACCTGGCCCAATGAATACTATGAATAATCATATGAATATGAGTCACATGGGTAACTCTCAACTTAGTGGTCCACCTATGGGTAGTCCAATGAACAATATGAACAGTGGACCGATGGGTAGTCCTATGAATAACATGGGGCATAGCATGGGAAGTCCTATGGGTGGTCCATTAGGTTCCCCTATGAACACCATGGGTGGATCAAATCACATGCCCAATGGACCAATGAACATGAACAATATCAATAACCACATACCACCCAATAGCCCGTTAAACGGCCCATCCATGAACAGTGTAAACAGTCCATTAGGACATAATGGATCTCAACCGCATCCGAATCATATGGGAAATAATCTTAATAACTTAGGAAGGCCCATGAACGGACCTATGACAACCATGAGTTCCATGGTATCCAATAATATGAATATGAGTGGTCCAAACCAAATAAATAATATGAATATGGGTGGGCCACCAATGAACAATATGTCCAATATGAGTATTAATCATCACAATCAAATGAGTCACATGGGTGGTCCAATGGGCACAATGTCCAGTAATATGGGTGGTGGTCCACCAATGAGTCATCCCATAAATATGGGAGGTTCTATGCCACCTCATGGTTTCCAAGGTCCACCAGGAATGGGACCAAAACCAATGCCAGTTTCTGCGGGAAAGGTAAACCGATAACGTACGTTGTTAGCACAGTTCTAACATTAATATTAACTAAACTAACTTGAAATTTCTTGGCTGTTACAGATATATCCTCCAGATCAGCCTATGGTGTTTAACCCACAAAATCCCAATGCTCCGCCTATTTATCCTTGCGGAGTGTGTCACAAAGAAGTACACGACAACGACCAAGCGATTCTTTGTGAATCGGGTTGTAACTTCTGGTTTCACAGGTACGAAGAAGTTTGCTTTATTCCACACGTTCGATAGAAACAGATCTCTTCTGTTAACTTTTAACGTATACGATGGTAATTCTATTCTAGGGGATGCACAGGATTATCGGAAACTGCTTATCAATTATTAACGGCAGAAGTTTACGCGGAATGGGTGTGTGATAAGTGCTTGCAGTCAAAAAATATACCTTTGGTTAAATTCAAACCATAACAGTTCTTGACTCGTCGTATATGCGACGCACGAGTGACTCTTTGTTAGCGTTTACACCTTGTACACGCACACATGCGCGTGCGATTGCACACACATAAAAGTACATACGGCATACACTGATGCAAAATCGTGCGCGAAATCGTGCATATAATATAAACATGCGCTGTTTGTTAATATCTTAGCTTTAACTTGTTGAAATATTAGGATATCACTATGAGTCGTATCGATGAAGGAGGTGGCAAGAACAACATATGTTCGAAAGTTACGTTACTTTTTGACTCTGTTTGCGACAAGTGGATTCGCCTGTTTTAAAGGAGAAAATTATTTATAATTTGACTTTACGATTTATAAAGCCGGTGGTCTGTTTTTAATTACCGTGGTGACGATAAACGTGTTAAAAGTAAGCTCAAGACGTTTTTTAGCGAGAATTACGGAAAAAGTAGCAAAAAGCATACGCGTTAAAAAATATACAATGGTCGATGAACCTTATTCAATTTCTTACTATTAATTGCATTTAATTCGAAATTAAAAAAATAAACGTATTCGTAAAAAAGGGGATAATATATATAAATATATATATACAAATGGACGATACAAGCTGTTGGAACTACATATTGATAGAAGATAAACCAACTACGTGCATTCTTTTTCTTTAGATTTGGTTAAACGTTCCTGATAATGTGTAGTTGATATAAAAAAAAGAAGAAATTAACAATTGTATATTATTTTATAATATGTCTAATTATGTCGTTGTCATTTTATCATCGGGCTCGCCGCATTAAGTAAATCCAAAGGATCTATTGTAAATGCGCATGTAAGTATGTGCAAATCTAAACATGAACTTGAAACAATGTAAATTCTTCTCATAACGCTATTTGTATTTATCAAATGTTCATGTCTACCATCGAGTATCGGAATATGGGAAAGTTTCTAAATCTACTTCCTCGTATAATTCAATTATCATCGAAGTATTTTGGTTTTCCAAAAAGAAAAAGCGCTTTTGAGTGAGTCATGTATACACTCGTCGCATTGAACGCAGTACTTTTGTTCTGAAACGTTACATAAAAGTGTTGTGATTATTTTTTATAAACCATGGTCAGTTGAGTACTTTAAAAGTGTTAGCGTTACGATATATTCAAATTGTAAATAGAAATTCGAATACCGTATGTATAAAAATATTTCTCTCGTCGCGAGGATCAACCTAACGTTCGTGTGATAAGAAACGACACGAGAAAGAGAAAGAATTTATTTTCTTTTACCCACGCTCATATCTTGTTTCTTGCCATGGTTTATGCTGTTAATTAATTCAGTGCGAGCATGCGTAACTAACTTTGGAAAGAAAACAGTTGGAATTTATTTGACTGATCACTCGCAGGGTTCTTTGTACCTAAAGTCTCGCGACAAGCACGCAAAGAAACAAATTGGGTACAAACGTAATATAACGAAGTGTCAACGGAAAGATAAGTCGTGAAAACGCACGAAGTATTTCTATGTTTTGCAAATTGATAAAAACGTAAATTAAACTCAAGATACTTCGCGAAATGTATTAAACGGAGTCACGTGTTTAGTTGCAGTATCGAAATTTCTGCACTCGACACAGGTACACCTGCGAGTACATACATTTACATTCACGTTTTTTTTCGTCGAATTAAGATTCATCATCGTATCTGCCAGACTATTTTGGTGTCAGTTAACGTGTAACAGTATATTACGAAACAACAGAGAAGTATTATCGAAGTTAATTGATTAACGCAATTAAAGAAACAAAATAATTGAAATTCCGTCGGCAGCTAACGCAAAATTAACGAGTCCACGGATTGTATAGTTTTATATGCATATACATATATAATTATATAAAATATATGCAGTTATCATTTTACTAATTGACGCCTGTATGAAACGAACGACTGATTTCGAAAACTGAGTTCACAGTACTTTTCGGGATAACTAGTGATCTGCGAACAGAAGACCAAACTCAAATCTTTCCACGAGTAAAACCTGTCGTGTAGGGACAAAAAATTCTCTCTTCTATTCGAACTATGAATTTCTCAAAATTTGTTCATCTCAAAAGTAAAAACATATCATTTCTTCAAATTTTATCGTAATGAGAATTCTGTAGATGTACCTAGTGTCCGCACATGTTATGGGAACAAAATTAAAATGGAGATACTCTTGGAAATATTTGATCCAACTAGTTATTGCACTCGTGATCTGTTTATTACGCGAAGCTTCGCATCTCTTTTACTGTAATCGTTTTTAATGAATATTATACATACACACACACACATACACACATGATCCTATAGCTACATAATGCTCATACTAGTATTACAACGAATAGAAATACCATTTTCACATATCTTCATTCTATATTTTGTCATTGTCATAGGATGGTCGAGGGGGAGGGGGGTTATTACACTCGGAGATCGTTAACCTTGCTTTATTTTTCTTTTTGTTTTTTCTCTCACTCTCACTCTCTTTCTCTCTATTACAGAAAATTCTATTAACGGGAATGCAGGGGATTAAGCGAATAACGAAATGAAAGATGTATGCTCTGCTCAACGGGATGGAAAAAGGATGCGCAACTATAGACGATTGCTAAGAGACTCGGATGGTTAAGGATAATCGTTTTTCTAGTACAAACGAACGAATCGTAATTTTAAGTAAACTACTAGTAGCGTCTATTTTTCAGAGATAACTTATATAAGTTGTATCGTTTACGAACAAAAACTGTTATGCGATCAGCGAAATCATGACGCACGCCTAAAATGATAAGTTAGAATATTTCTTGTTCTTTTATTCAAGTGACAAGTTTCTTCGATTACGTTTTTATTTCTTTTCACCGACAGCTTAATCCCTGTACAATTTTTTCGAAGCAAATGCATTTCATGTTTTTTTTTTCTCACAAATTTTGTCGCTTATTTTCTATTCTTTCCATTCGTCATCGAGGAACGAAACGTTCTCTTGGAATTATCCAAAGCGATCTGTAAATCGAACGTTTTCTTTTATTTTACATCTTGACGTTTTGACTACCATGACATGTAAAACGTCTACATGGAAATGTAACTAATGGAATATTGATTGATAAAATTTTAATATGGTAGTCAAACTGTTGAAACGATCGTAGAATCTTGTGTTTATCGACTTTACTGTGTATATAAGTTATTTGAGAAACGATGCAACGCGTAGATAATTTGTTTTAGACGATCTGTAAATATAATCTCTGTATCGCCTTATCGAGTTGAGAACGCGTCGCGGTTATTAGCTTCTCTTCGTTTTCTTCTGCCTTAACCAACGCAACAGCAAAGAGGAATTTTGCAAGTCAATAGTACAGTTAGTTTTCCTTTTTCCTCCCTGGACAACCATTGTACCGAAATCAGGGGACTCGGTTACGACCCGAGGTTCATAGAAAACTTGAGAGCGTATCGACACTCGATTTGAAAGCATTATTACTTGATTATTACCATCATCATTACTATTATATTATGTTAGTTACTATTATTCTCATTACTGTATTATTACTTTGTACGAGATCAATATTTGTTATTGGTAACTGAATTCATTATTATATTCTAATATTATATACGATATACACGATTAATTTTAATGCTTATATGTATCGAATAAGCTGATTTTCAACGTGTTACGTTTCCTTTTCTCTTCGAAGGGAACACCGATTCGGTTAATCAGAAAATTGAGAAGAAAAGATTGAAATTATTTCGCGTACTAATACAAAAAAGAAGAAAGTTTGAACGTATTATGTGAGAAGTATACACGACGAATTGTTTATAGATTATTTTTTGTCATGTAAATACTGACATACATACATACGTACATACACATTATACTTATAGGTGTGTATGATCAAGGATAAAAAATTGTTATACATATATTAGAAATCAACGTACGTATGTCATTATTTCGATACACGATACAAATTGCGTGCGAAGATATCCTCGTTTTTCTGCAACGTGTACGTGTTCACTCATTGTACATATTTATATGGCACTTGAAATAACAAATCCATACCATGTTGATTTTTATATCGTTCTTGTATCCATTTATTAGGATTTTAGTGAGCTCCTTGTATGATATAACAATAAGTACGCCTATGCTGTACAGTTGCGTGCAATCACGTCACTCGGCGAACTTCTTATCTTAAAATCTTAGATCGTTTAATAGGTAATAGTTTATTAATCACAATTTAACGTATCAAAAAAAGCTTCAACTTAATATTTATAAAAACGAATGATGATTAATTGATATCTAAAAACTATTGTTTCGATGAACAGTGACTTATATACGTTACAACAATTTGCAAATTACTTTCATCGTTGATTTAAATTCTCGTTACAATTGGTTTTTCTTTTTTTTTTAATTCGTTCATTTTAATCCTACGATTTGAACGAGTTAAGTTCTTCTCGTTTCTCAAGCGTGTGAAGTCGTACAATGTTCGACAAAGTACGAGCCACGTGTGCCTTCGTAATTCGAGCGCTTCTATCGTTCGAATTCAGATCCTGTACCCAAAATTTCTGCGGTATTTTTGGCCTGACGTAAACAGGTGCCTCGTTGCATGTCACTTGGAAATCTGTAAAAGATGAAAACCTTTTTTCGTGCTGGCAATCAACACCTTTCTCTTTATCTTCTCCCGGTAATCGAGAGAAGTCTACGTTGCACTCGAGTGTACTGCGATAACCACTTTACTTGCATTCAGGCAAAACTGCGACGTATGATTCGGCCACGGTTCGTATTTCGAATCTAGTTCGGGGTGCTGGTGAAAATGACACCTGTGCCTGCAGAAGTTCACGCCCTTGTTCTCGTCGTCCATGTAACCGAGTCTCCCGTACAATCCGTACTTCTTTTCGTCCACTGCGCGCAGTGTTCCATTCTTTTTCATTGCCATGTAAATTTGCTCCAGCATGCCGTAGCTCTTGATCAGGAAATCACGTTGAGCCAACGAAGTGACTCGCTCCCTTTCCTCCGACTCGCAAATGATCTCCGGCTCGAACGAATGAGAGGTGTTCGTGGCTGAATTAGTTTGCTTCTTCACCTAAATGATTTCAAAACGTTACGGCGTCAAAATCTACGTTGCTGTTTTAAGGAAACTAACGTTCGATAGATTTCTTTTTGCCACAATCGCAGATTTGCTCCTCTCTTGATTATTCGGAACGGCCGATTTCTTTTGGGCTTCCGAAGTGATTGCGGGCAATTTCGAATCGCTCCATTTTCCGCAAATCTTTTTACTCTCTTGTTCCTTTACTTTGTTCTGTAAATACAGTCGTATATCTCTCTCGTTCTAATTATTAAAGTTTACTTTGGTAACGCAACACACATCATTTTCTTCCTTTTGAGTTCGTGCCGCCTCTTCTCGGGCCCTGGACGCAATAGTATCTTGATACGCGGAGATGCCTGTCTGCTTAAAGAATGGCTGATACTTGTCACTGTCGGAACACGGATAGATCCTACGGAAATTACCCATATGATCGTCTTCCCACTTCAATTGCTTCTGCAGATGATCCTCTTCTAGTTTATCTGGTTTCGTCGGGCCGATCGTCGAATCGTTCAGGCTATATAGAACAAACGTTTTAAATCAACCTATCGTGAAAAAAACAGATCGTAGTCTGCAGATACCTGCTATCCTTGGAGGTTATTCCTTGTAGCAGTCTGTCTCTAACTCGTTTCCTATCTTCCTCGATGATTTTCTTCTTATCGCATTGTTGCAAGTTCAACATCTCGAAGGTGTCCGTCAGCAGACCCTCCTTTATGTCTTTGTCGATTTGCGCGTCCGTGTGAAAACTCGGCGAATGATTAACCTGACGTATTTCTCTTTTTATTTAAATTTTGTCTTTGCTTAAATTAACTACGCAGGTCTTATTGCTTCCAAGATCTTTACCTCCAAAAGATACGGCTTCAGTTTCCAATCGAGTAACACGTCGAAGCCCAACAGTTCGAAACACGCATACGTTTTATCGTGTGTCGGGAAGCACGTGTGATAACTGTGCTTCAGAATAGGATACGCGGCTAGAATCGTTTTAATTATAATCTCGTCGATCTTGCGCCACAAATCATCCACGTTTATTTCTTTCAATTTCAACCACTTGTTCAAAGTCGATATTTTTCTACGTTATGAAATAAGAATTTCAAAGGACTTTTATTGAATTACGATGAAAGCAAGGACGATGGTAAATACCGACCTTTTGCTACCCATTTCATCGTCGATTACGTACATTCGACTGTGCTTGTTCACAGCATAGTTCGTCAAGTGCATGAACACGTTGGATGTATTGTGACCAGTCGGTTCTTTGTATCTGCTCGTGGCAAATCTGCAAACAATTCTTGAAATTGGATATGTAGGAAGAGTAAGAAATAAGGGAAACTACCTGGCGAGACCGTCGTTGTACACGTAAACTCTAAGGGGATCGCAGGAGGTAATCAGCGTATAGATACGAAGATCGAATTTGTAGCCGTCCACCAGAAAAGGCTACAGACACGAATGATCTTCACCAAAAAGGAGTACAAACGAATTGTTTAACGTTAAAATTGCTCGCGTACCCTAGCCACGTAAACCTGGCAAATCATACGTTCGGATGGTTTCACGTCTTTCAGATTTCTCGTCAAATAAATCCCACGACCTTGGCATCCCGTGTCTGGCTTGATGATAAAGGTTTTCGATCGTCTCAGCTTGGCGTAGGCCATCGCTTCTCCGTGACTGAAAACGTTTACCGTTACTCGTTTCAAAACGAGTTATCTCACTCGAATTAATCCTCGAGCATTTTTCTTACTCTGCGGGAAAACACCAAGTTTTTGGGAAGAAGTTGTAGTCTTTGGGAAACAGCTTCAGCATACGATTCAAGTTTCTGGCAAGTAGGTCCTTCCTACAGATTTCCGTCATTCCAGGGAAATGATTCACCTTCTGATATCTCTTCATGTCTTTCGCTCGCTCTACACTCACGCTCAAGTCCGTCCAATACAGGTTCCAACTGCTGTCCTCGGTGACCTCCTTCATCCCGAAGCGAGCCGCTACTCGTCTCACCACGTCGTACTTGCAGTTGCTCGTGCATATCGTCAGACATCTTTGCAATCGAAGAAAGTCTGTGTTATGCTCGTAATTTTCAGTGTCGCTGTAAACAAACTGTACCTTCGCTTTCTTTTCCGTTTCGTTTTACTCGCAATTCCGTCTGCTGTATCCTTTCGCGAATCTGCGTCTGTATCTCCGAAGGACAAATCTAGCAATCGGAAGAAAATATTACAACGATACGCGAATAAAGTACACATTCAATTTACATGTTCGCTCGATAGAATTTCAATAAGGCATTAGGTTAGAAACGGTACCTTTGTCATCTTTTTTATTCGCAAGATTTTTAGAAGCGCCAACGATTTCACGATGGCTTTTTGTAAAGTCGGTAAATGGAAGACTATTAGACGAGGTGTCGGAGACTACGAGCTTCTTGCATCGATTTCTGTACACGGTTTGACATGACCGTACTTCCGTGCTGGAATCGGACTCGCTGCTAGTCTCGCCGTTCGTCGGATGACTCTCCTTCGTGTCACTGGCTTCGAATTCGCGTACGACCATCAAAACACGTTTGTCATTGCGTTCGACGACGTTCATGACCGGTGTATTTCATTATTTTGAACGATCTGCCCTTGCATGGCGTCAATTTTGATCGTACGTCAAGCTAGACGCATCGTATTACCAATTTGACCGTAACCACAAAACGCGAAGCGAAGAGAAGAAGGAAGTGAAGTAAAATCAACGATGTTCAAGGTAAAAGAGTGATTGGACTGTGATCAATTTATTGGCAGAGGAAAAACCAAAACGCGATGGTATTTTACTTTCTGCCTCTCCCGAAATGGTTGGTCGCGTTTTACGCATCGCTCCTCTCCTCAATTGTTTTTTCCATTTCACGAGGGAACGGAACACAGAGGCGAAATAAACTCGAAAACGTGTGCGCACGATTTTAATTTACAATTCGAATAAAAACCAATATTCAAATTTTATTACTTTCTGTTCTCAAATTTTACAAATTCGATTTTAATCCCGTCAAGTTTCGTAGGATCTTTACGACGTCTACGGCACAACCCCAGCTCAAAGTTACTCCGCTTCCTCCGTGTCCATAGTTATGTATTACCTGAGAACATCGTAAAAATTGATCTAACAGCTCATCATCGAAACTTATCAAAGATATCCTTACCGTGATTTCTTTTCCTGTAGACGATTTATAAATTTCTGGTTCGAGGCGAACCTCCGGTCTTCCTGGTCGAAGACCGGCCCACTGCTTTATCACGGTAGCTTTCTGTAAAAGTACATATTAATTAATAACAATGTAAATAAACTAATACGTAGGAATAAATGAAATGCCACCTGCAGAGAGGGCATAATTTGGCAACATCCATCTCGAATAAACTTGAAGTCCTCCTCCCGTGGAGTGCAATCGTAATCATCTTCTTGATGCGTTCCACCAATTACAGTGCTATCAAAACTTTAGAAACAAAAAGAATATTATGTATCAATAAAAGGAAAATGCGGAAGAAAGTTTTATCATACTTTGGTATTATGTAGTTTCCGTCGTTGTCATGCACCAAGATCCCGTGCATTACCCAGGAAGCAGTCACCTGAAGCGAAGAGAAAGATGAAAAATGTTCCGATCGCGTTTCACCTACAAAGGCTACCAACCCTGGCAACTTGACCTCTGATAGGTATAACCGTGTTATCGCCAACGAGTTCACGTGCACCGAGACCGCTGCAATTTATTATCAAGTCATATCCTTGATCGATCAACTCGTCGAACGTATGAATGTTACTTTTTTTAAGCTTTCCACCAACTTTCTCAAACTGTTCCTTCAACCATGGCAGCAGAATGACGGGCTCGCAGGTGTAAGTGAGGAACAACCAACCATCTCTAAAATAATAAAAAAATTGACATTATTATTCTTTCTATTTCATTGATCACAAAATAGCAAGAATAGGCATTCAAAGCTCCCTATCTTTACCAATACTGTACTTGTAATTCGACTTGTGTTCCTCGTTCAATCTCTCCAACTCTTTGACGGTCAGTCTGTGTGCGCCGTATGTCAACTTTATCCAATTGAGATCGGGAAATCCCTGGGAGTCGCTAATGACATGGTATACAGGTACCAAAGCGACTCCAGTTTCCCGGGACAAGCCTTCTTTCCATAATTTTTCCATCCACCGATGCGTGACTCCTCCCCAGCGTCTGTCAATGCATTAATGACATGTACACTCGAGTGCAACGCAAATTTTCTTTGGCTAAGTTTTGAGTGAGCCAAAGGGAAAGAGTCTAGAATCTAGGAAAAGTCTAAGAGGAATCAGGAAGAGTTCAAAGCACTTGAAATATGTGCTAAATACGGAGTCTGGTCAACTCGAAATAAACATTTGAAATTCATGATAAGGAAGGAAAGATAACAGCATGTTGCAGAGCGATAAAGACTGCTTCTAATTACGAGTCATTCGTACCTCAACTTTGAAAATACTTACAGTACTTTGTCAGGAGAAGTGGTCCCGAGGAGGTAAGGACTCCAAAGTCCCGCACTCCCATCGCCAGTGGTGTCAGGTGAAAACTCATTCGCGAACACGTGTACGTCGAACATCGGAAAAGAATTTTTCACCGCTAAAGCGCTCGTCATCCCAATTACACCGGCACCAATTATCGCCACACGCATTTTGACGACGATTTTTATTGCTTCGGAAAGAGAATTTAATAAATCTGCCGTAAGCAACCGGAGGCAACTGCTCGTTAACTTCTCGCTTGGTGTCGCGATATCGTTGTGCGAGAACATAAAAAGAAACTGGATCGCTTGAATGATAACCCCATGTTCGATCGAGTTCTACAGATGGTCTAAGCGGAGACGCGAGTCCGCGAAGCTTTTATGAATCTCGTTTAAATTCGAACGAGGACGAATCGAGGATCATGTTGAACTCACGATACCACATATTTTTAGCATAATGCCCGTTCAAATCTCGGCAATAATTATGCTAAAATATGGGAATCGTGAAAATCATTGATCCTTCGAAGGAATTACCGTATCGAGGTCCAAACGATGATGGTCTCGTGTCGCACCGACGATAAACGGAGCATAATTCTTTAAATAACGTGTCTCAAAGGTCTTATACTCTGCTTACCGATGGCGCAACGCGTGATTTCATACAGATCCCAACGATTATATTATGCAGATTTTATTCGATGCACCTTAAACGATCTATAGTACAAAGCAACGTGAACAAATTTTTTTTTAAACGATCTTTTCAAAGCGCGATCAGTCGACTGAGGACTGCACGAGTATCTGACTCTCAAGACGGCTGACCAAACTGCCTGATGACAGTTCATGATACAGAGTATTTGTTTACATCGCATACGAGTACCCTAGACATAATATAGCCCGGAAGTGCGATAAAGGGTGTAGGTGACAGAATAAAAAGCAAGAGATTGCATTCGTTTCTTCGAACTCGTTTTTCATTTATATACCTTTATCAACCCCAGTAGATCGTCACTGTCAATTTAAATTTCGACTATTTCTATACATATGAAAGTCTTTCATTTGAAAATATACAGAAGCAATATTATCATCGAAATTATAGGAATAAATCAGTGTCTGGCCAAATATTAGAATCTATACTGGTCGATGAATCATCCCCGAAACATCCTCAATGAGTCAACTTTAAATGAGTTTGAGGAACTTGTAAAGACTGAAAACATTCGTAGTATGCAATATATATTAACACATTACCTGACTTTGTAGTCGCCGATAAACGCTGCAAATTGAATATTATTAAAAGATTTAAAAAGTTATTTCAAAAAGTTAAACTGACAGAGATGTGTTAAGCATGATATCTTGAGAACGCGGTTCACCCTGAGAAGTCGCTTCGTCCCGCGATCTTCATCAACTCAAACCGTGTCAATTATTATAATTTGCAAAACTGAGAATGGAACTGATTTGAAATATCGAAGTACTCAGCTGTTTGAATATTACTGTCTGACAAAACACCAAAGCTTGACCACTGGAATGGCTGAGAATCTTTCTTTGTTACGCTGCAAAGCGTTCGATAGGTTCAGATAGCAGACACCTGAATGTCCGTTATCCGAGATTACTATTGAGGCGATGCATTGTTATTACATTCTACTTCACGTGCCAATGCCCCATTGAAAGGTGAAATATTACCAAAAATAAAAGAGACGAGTTTATTTCGTATTCCATAAATATAATTTGGCGGCAATAAATAGGGTTTACATGTATATACAATAATATTAGATATTTTATAAACTATAATTACTAGTATGGAAATTTAGTACATTGGTATTTTTTATTTTTTGTATATAAATTTATCGGAAAATAATGTAAAACTTTATGCTACCTATTTTCGTTATCGCAATAATATAAAATACTTGAAATAGAAGATCCTTACAAAACATACGTATTGTTATACAAAACTGGTTCACCCTGGACGATTTTTATAATTTACTTTATAGTTAATGGTCTGAACATAACTACACCGATTCGACGTCTTGCGATATTCTTGATTAATCTGTTATGCTCAGAATAACATATTAGCAGTTACATCGAGTAATAATATTCCTTTTAAATTAAGGTTAATTTGGTTATTTTAAGTACGATGTTCTAAAGTTGCCATACTTAAGAAAGTAGCACGGATACAAATCGAAGCATTTTACTAATTCGATAAATGACAATAAAGTATAATTGAAACTGAAACTATTGTACATGTACTACTTTCAGGACTGGTATGAAAAGTTTTTCCCATAGACAAAATATTTATCACAGATGGAGTTGAAGTTACAGTTAAAATCGCAATAAAACTTTGACACAAAACAATTCATAAACGTAACAAATTTTACGTAATTATATGAATAACAAATTATATGTTACCGAGTATTAAATTGCTAGAGAGAATGCATAAACCCATTTAGGCATAGATCTTAGCAATTTTTATTGCGACTTTATATCGTATTTTTAATAACCGATGTAACATCTGTAAATGATTAATAGCTTGTATAAATCAGTGTCCCGATAAACTTCCTATATGTATAATTAATATACAAATTAATTTGTGTGATGTATTTTATTGTGTTATTTTAATTATCGCATTCCTAGCCATTACTTTACTATCTTATCATTTGCCTAAATTTATCCAGCTCGAAGATACTCTCCGACAACCTGTAAAATTAAATTGTAATTCACTCTTATATTTAAAGTATATAATAAAAAATTAGGGATCAGTCGACGTACCTTCCGAAAGCATTAATAAGAGCGACGATTTCGCTTCTTTCTAAGAAAAATTGTTTCTTGCTAAAGTGGTTTAACGTAGATTCCCATTTATCAAACTTTCCCGAGAATAAAATTTTCAATGCTGTACCCAAACCGTGCGTTTGAAGCTTTCCCCAAAGTTTACATTTATCGCATCCTACGCAATCCATTATACGAGATATATTCCTAAAATGTTGTCTAAATTGTTCTTTTAATAATTGAGCTTCATCTCCGCCAGTGAATAGAGCACTTTCATTAAAGTGTTCTGGAAATGATCTAAAAAAAGATTAGAATAACATATAAGCTGAACATAATTCTATCCAAATTATCATTTACAGATTTAATTAAACTTACTTAACAACAGATAGAATATCATTTATTGCTAAACGAGTATCCGCATCTTGTGCTTTATTACCGGTATAATATTCTTCCCTTTCTAAATACGGCGCCGCTTTAGCTAAAGCTCTTAATTCGAGCAAATAAGTAAAATACAAATTTTTTAACCAGTTTGGACCTTCACCTCCAGTTGTATCTGGAGCAAATCTCTTTTGAAATTCGTCTAAATTAGGACCCCATAGGCCACCAGGTACTATTTCTAAACTATCTTTAGAGGATAATAAATACTTTGCACATAAATGGATATTAATACTGGCATGAAGACCTGATATAACACGGTAGAATACTCTTTTCTCCAAACACATACCTAAAATTGTAATGATATATTGCATTCCTATATGCAAGCACATGTAGAGTAACATATATTATGAAGACAACACTACATAAAAGGATCTTACCATTTATTTTTGATGACTTGATGAAATTATGTGGTGAATTTTCAGGTCTGAAATTAAGCATAACATTTATCACTTATATTGCATTTCATAGAATTGCAAAAGAAAATATCAAACTCTAATTATACAAACCTAAAACAGTTTTCCATATAAATACTGCGCCATATCCTGTGAGCACTAGGTCCTTTATAGCCTGTATATCTTTCAGGATTTAGCAAAAGGTTCACGTATTCTCCAGGACTTGATTCTTTTACACAGAAATTATCTTGGGCATCATCATGCTGTTGCCACAATTCAAAATCTTTGTAATTTTCTAAACTAATGGTAGTGTTCAAGTAGCCAAGTTCTTTATTATGATCTTTAGCACTGTATAGACAATCGTCAAATTGAGAATAGGATTTATATTTATCTGCAGGACTTTCATTAAAGTGTATATTCCTCAAGACATCTCCTTTTAATCCATCTGGAATATCTTCCTGCAACAAGTGCTTTATGTTGTCATTCAAATATCTTAGAATACTATACATTAATATATTAATCACTTACATCTTGACAAGGCTGCACATGACAATACCGCATAGCACATTTGCTATCGTCTGTCCAAAAAGGGCATTCTTGTTTTAAATTTACTTTATAAAAACGAAAATAATCTCTGACTAGAAGACTCTGAAGTCTTGGATAGATTTTCATATTATTAAAGTAATCTACTGTATCTACATTGCAACTGCAGTCATCGATCGATCCTTTCAACTGAAAGTTTTATAAAGTAAAATATAAACTATTTCTTTATAAAAAAGAATACAAATATTATAAATACTAATTGCTATGATAAAAAGAAAGTGTGCGTAAGTTTATAACAAACACATACACAGTGTATTAAATAGCCTTAACAGACATATAATAATATACTATTTGCACAAGCATATAAGAAATACTACAATATGTCACTATGACAGTTCTGACATATCCTTGTAGGTTATGTTTATTTTTTCTAAAGAAACTTGAATAGCAAGAAAACAACAGAAACAATACCTTACAGAAGCACTGGTCGTGTTTTTCATTGTTCGTCCCAAAATAATTACAATACGCGATAGAAGGTAAAAATATAGTAAGCAATATTAATAGTCGAGACATGTTTTCACTGGGTTCAGTTCTCATGATAAAATTCACTGGTACACCTCAGTCACAGTTAGAAGTGATAATATACCACTGCGGTAAAATACGTTTCCCACTTTCGATAACATCAACCATCGACCGGACTACGTGCCACCAGGAACGTAAATCTTCCTGTTGAAAGCAAGTTCCATCGACACTTTCATTATATCTATCGATCAATGTTATACTATTTGTTACAAGCAAATGTGTATGTACATATAGATTATTTATGTAAAAATGATGCTCTCTCCTTCGTCTAACAACAAATAAGTAAATCAGTATTACAAAGTATAATACACGTGTAACTATTGATACTTTCGACGACGTGACAGATATCACATTATCGCGAACCTAGTTCCGCTTATATTTTACAGTACAGTTATCTCAATATACGTCAATTTTGAAATGCAACATCGTGCGATAACTTGTGAAATAAGATATAAAATGATTCGAAAATCTCAGATATTAGCGGCGTATGACAAACTTTATAGACATACTTGATCAATTTCAAATTTGTTGCTATAGTTTTAATCTTGGTTTTTGGATGTAAAACATATTGCACTTACACAAAATTTCTGGGAACCTATCAAAATATATACGGTGTATTACCCTCTTATCAGCACTTCACATGAGATACAAATTTTGTTCCACGTGTACTTACAGCATTCGATAATAGGACATAAATTATTTACATATACGTATTTAAAAAATAGTGTTTAGCGGATGCTGTATATGACTACATAATAAATGGTAAAGTGTATGTTGGTAATTCTATTAAACTACTATATTCATTGTATATGTATTTGATTCGGAACATTATTTTAATAAATAAATAATAATCAAGTTAATTACAGTGTAATTAATATTTATATCCTGCTGCACCAACTAGAATAAGTCGATATTCCAATATGTGGGAAACTAACAAAAAACTGTTTGATTGTTTCCAAAACAGACGCATGATTCTTTTATTTTTCTTATTGAGCGAGCGAGTCGAAGGCGAGCGAAGCTCTTATACTTGACTTTGCAACTTCTTTGTCCGTGTTTTTCTTTTGCACCACTCAACCAATTCTCATCAAATTTTGCACGCGCATGCGTATGTACATCCAGAGAGCCATAGAAAAAAAAATTTTAAATCGGACTTGCCACGGAGGAATAATCACCGGAAAAACTGATCCTCATAGACTTCAGCATTGCGATGCGTACATGAGCCGCCCCTGTCAATTCTACTGCACATGCAAAGTGCAATATTTCGGCACTTTGACGACGTAGTATGGTTCCTGAGGCATTTAGAAACAAATTTCTATTAAGGTTTAATGCGTTTTGATGCCTAATAAAGCCAGAAAAGCAATTTTTGTCGAATTCGGTCCAAAACGGTACAGGTGGCGCCATCTAGCGGCGAGCGGCGGAACTACGAAACACTAAAATTTCGATTTTCTCGAAAACTAGGGACTTTCTCGAAATTCTGAGATATACAAATTCTTCCTTGTCGCCTACGGAATCAGAACGAATGTAATTATAGCCTGCTAGGACAATTATTAAGGAAAATAGAAAAATAGCCCATTTCATGGACTAAAAAATTGCCGTCCATCTAGCGGTGAAAGTTGGAACTACAAAAATAGAAAATCTCGATTTTCTCAAAAACTAGGGACTTTTCTGAAATTCTGAGATATACAAAATCTTCCTTGTCGCCTACGGAATCGGACGAATCTAATCATAGCTCGCTAGGACCATTATTAAAGAAAATAGAAAAATAGCCCATTTCATGGACTAAAAAATTGCCGTCCATCTAGCGGTGAAAGTTGGAACTACAAAAATAGAAAATCTCGATTTTCTCAGCGAGCGAGCCGAAGACAAGCGAATGAATAATCACCGAAAAACTGATCCTAAAAAGTGAGGGTCCGAACACGCATATAAGGAAAATAAAAAAATGAATATTTCGGCACTTTGACGACGTAGTATGGTTCCTGAGGCATTCAGAAACAAATTTCTATTAGGGTTTGATGCGTTTTGATGCCTAATAAAGCCAGGAAATCAATTTTGGTCGAATTCGGTCGAAAACGGTACAGGTGGCGCCACCTAGCGGCGAGCGGCGGAACTACGAAAACCTAAAATCTCGATTTTCTCGAAAACTAGGGACTTTTCCGGAATTCCGAGATATACAAATTGTTCCTTATAGCCTAAGGAATCGAACGAATCTAATTATAGCCTGCTAGGACCATTATTAAAGAAAATTAAAAATATGTCATTTTATGGAGAAAATTTGTGGCGCCATCTAGCGGCGAAACTGCGAACTAAACTGAAAAAACGTATGTCCGAACACGCAGTAAAGGGTCAAATAAAAATTGATTTTCTGGGCTTAATAGGCAAAAAAATGAATAACTTATTCAACAAAAATTACTTTGAAAAGTCTAAAGAAGCATACTACGTCGTCAAAGTTGCGAAATATTACGTTTTATATTTTTCCTTAACGCGTGTACGGACATACGGTTTTTCAGTTTAGTTCGCAGTTTCGCCGCTAGATGGCGCCACAAATTTTCTCCATAAAATGACATTTTTTTAAATGGGCTATTTTTCTATTTTCCTTAATAATTGTCCTAGCAGGCTATAATTACATTCGTTCGATTCCGTAGGCTATAAGGAACAATTTGTATATCTCGGAATTTTGGAAAAGTCCCTAGTTTTCGAGAAAATCGAGATTTTAGGTTTTCGTAGTTCCGCCGCTCGCCGCTAGGTGGCGCCACCTGTACCGTTTTCGACCGAATTCGACCAAAATTGATTTCCTGGCTTTATTAGGCATCAAAACGCATCAAACCCTAATAGAAATTTGTTTCTGAATGCCTCAGGAACCATACTACGTCGTCAACGTGCC